ATATTTAAGAAGTTCCAATTTCATGCATATTTGGATATAGATTTTTTCAAAAATTGTGAGAGTGGCCAGCACAGTGATCATCATATCAAAGCAGCTGGATAAGTTGCCCTCCAAATAGCTGAGGAACCAGGCCACGAATTGCAGCCGAAGGATTTACTAAATTGAGCAAATGTAACTACAGTTTGAGAAAGGGATTTTTGGATTCATAAGAAAAATTTCTTTTAGACTTATGGACAATATAAAGTTCGTTGTTTCAGCCTCCAGCAGTAGAAAACGATAAAACAACGACCTCTTCTACCGGATTAGGATTTGGTAATTCGATCATACCTCAGGTGGGCAACTGATAAATTCCAGATATTAAACAGTTTTGAGCTTCATTGCTATAGAACTGAACCAAGATCACTATCCGAAATCCTTTAGGTTATGTAAATTACTGGTTACAGGGACCACAGAATGGATCGCCCATTCGTCTTTATGCACATTTCGACACAAAATCGAACAAATTTGTGATACAGGAGCAACTAAAATTCCCTATCAGAGGCGAGGGATACGGTGAGTTTCTACTGTATTTCAAAAAAGATCCCCTACGGTCATTGTCCACAAGCTCAATTACGGAATGGAAATATCTTCGTAAAGTTAGAACGTCCTAATCAACTTATTTTCTGAATTGGCATTTTATCAATGACTGCAAAATTTCAAACTTGATGTGTGCGTGCACAAGATGTATTCGTCCGTTAAAGCTGAATTTGAAATCTTTAGCTAGCACAAAGACATAGAATATCTCTAACTTTTGTGAGGGTCCGTACTTAATACCTAAACATACGCGAATGGGAGGTCGAACGTACTTTCGAAGTCCCAGCTTTCTAGCTTTTCTGGTTCTGGAGTCGAAAGTGGGTGGCAAACATTGTAAATACACGGACACGCACAAAGACATGCATATTTTCTTGCAATATGCGTTTTTGCATTTGCGTATTATGTAAAAACGCACAAGAAGTGAATAAAAGAGATTTTCAAGCCGTAAGTCGTACACATTCTTATTCAGCACTACAAATGGAATACGGGCCTCAACCGTATGACAGTTGTGGTATTGGTAAAACAAAGAAAGCGAAAAAATCAGCCTTTTTTCTCGAGCTGTTGATCATTTGCCGGTGTCTCATCAAGTGATTTTGAAATTTCAATATCAACTCATTTTAGCACATCGAGCAGCAGCAGCACCAATATTTTCACCTTTGTCGCAAGCGCGTAGCGTGGGTCAGAAAAAAACAGGATCACCTGTTGATGGACGCGCAGCAGTAAATATGCTTACTGGAATGCAGAAGCCGGCAACCAGGTTGCGATTCCACGGGCCGTCAACTACGTTCCGGTCTAGACCAAGCCTCCCCTTAACCAAAAAGACGCCAAAAGTCTGGACAACGTCTCCTACAACAGTAATCGACGGTGACGCTACGGTGGA